CTAACCCGGATTATTTTGTACAAAAATTAGATCAAAATTAGGAGATAAGACTTTAAATAATTTAAGTTTCTTGAGAAGTTATTTTTTAAACAATGGTAATCAGTAAAATGGTATTAGGTACTATATATTATTTCTGTTTTATTTTTATTTTTCTGTATTATTTTATTTATGTTTCTAAAAGTTATTATTATAGTTTGTTTAGAATAACACTTTAATTTTTATATTTTTTATATTCTATATCTTTGAAATAAAAAATGTGAAATGGAAATCAAAATTACTTATATTTTTTATCACCTTAATTTTATTTTTCAGGAAAAAAATTTACCGGTAAACCGGTGTTTTAATTTTCATTTACCGAATTACCGGTAAATGAAAAAGTCGGTACATTTACAATCCGTAATTCCAACTGTTAGAAAAAAAGAGAGCAACCTCAGAGACCGAAATGGGTCTCTGAGGTCGCTCGGACATGTCGTAAAACTTTAGAATCTTCCAGGTGGTCCTCTTCGGCTTCATTCTTCCCTTTCGAATGTCTTATTGTGGGTCTAATCGAATCTACTTTGGCCTCGATAAAATGCCATCTTACCAAATTGCCAATTCATCATAGGATGAAAAGTGTCAAAATAACCCGACGTCTTGCTAAGGTGTCATATTATTTCATTAATAGCGAACCGAATGTATACATAATAAGTAGTAGATGACAGGAAACAGTATTTTCAACAGCAAACGTGTTTCGGGTTGGATTATCCCGAATGTTTTCAATCAATGAATCAAAAACCTTAGTTAAATTTGGCATACAAAAGTAGAGGATATAGGAGAAACNTAATTCGTAATACGTTGGTTACAAATTAATAGAAAAATAAATAAATAAATATGCAAATAAATTAATTATTCAAATATTAATAAATTCACGATGACGTTGAATTGTAAGACGTAAGACTTGTTTCCTTAGACTCCAGACACGATTTTTTCGAAAGAAGCGACGTGAGTCCTCCTGACTAAATTTTAATTTTTAATAATTGTCTATTTTAGAGGCTAAAAATTGATAAGATTTTAGTAAAATGCAAAGTTTGTTCTATTGCTCATTATGACGTGCCTTATTTTGCAGTAATTTCTAAATAAATTCCAAATGCTAACAATGCAATTTTGCTTGTCATTTGGAATTTATTAAATATTCATTAAATTTATTTGCATTTTAGAAGTGACCCACCATATTTTCTTTCTTTTCCGATTTCCTCGATCTACCACCTCAAAATGTTAACCGAATAAATGCCCTGTATATAAAAATAATTCTGGCAAACTTGAAAATTTATGGTTCATCCAGTCCAGAAATATACAAAATGCACGCGTACTTACTTTTGTAACATTTTTTTTCTGTTTTTTTTTTTCTTTAATATTTTTGGGCTTGTGCAGTGTTAAAACGTAGGACAAAAATATGACTCATTAGTTTAGTTTCTCTGTGCTTTATGTAATTTGGAATAAAATAAACAGATTTGTTCGTTGCTACAGAAACAAAAAGTAAAAGCGGAAGAAGTAAATTAATAAATACCTTATTTATTAACTGCGACATTTGAAACCTTCGTCCATTTCCACGGAATTTAATTGAGTCATTTCGTGACACGTTTGCGTACACGCAACTGAAAATATATAATTATTTTTAATAAGAGGTGATGAAATGAAGGTTGGGCATTAAAATGTTAATCACCGCTTGTTCTCCTGATGTTTATTGTGTCACACCTGACTAACTGCTCTGCACCTTGTAGTAATGCCACCTTCAAACTCCGTCTTACTACTGTTATGATATGTACAATAGACATAATTTGTTTTGTATAACGTCATTACCTTATAATTCCGCTAATTATAATACTGTTTATAATAGTAACTCTTACGTCAAGCTACCGTGTAACATTGCGAAGCCGCCATAATACTTTTATAACGGTTGCTTTGTCTTGTATAATTTTAAGTATTGTAACTTTTTTATATGTATGTTACCGCTAAAGCTCGAAATCCGTTAATGTGTACATTACCTAGCTAATCTGCAGATTAACTAGGGTGATCCGTTAAAGCTGCGAAAATTGTTCAATTTCTCAAATTACCTAGGTAATTTGCAGAGTATCTAGGTAATCTGCACATTAACGGCTTTCGTGTCGTTAAAGTTCAAAGGTTTGTTTCTTTCACTTCCTTTCCCCACTCCTTCTTTTTACGTAGATAAATTTAAATCCTAGAATGCGAGCAAGCACCGAATTGGTGAGTAAAATCAAGAAAAGATTCTTCGCAAACCTCTTTAGCGAAGATTTAAAATATAATACGTAGTGTTTTAATAACAAACCAAAGTATGATTTCATAATTGAAGATGTAAAGCAAATAAAAGTTTCCAAGAACAAAGAATCATCTCGAGATTATCAAATAATTCAAAGGTGTGATGTGTTGACTGTACGAGGCTGTGAAAAACTCATTGAGCCGTTGTCAGATGCGCGAGAAAGGTTTGAAAAAGTTTGTCCATGCCGGAGAATTGTTTGACATTCGATAAAAACTGAAGAAGACCTTGAAAAATTAGAAGATTCACAAGAGACTGTGATTATGAGATCACAGTCAAATCTTACTCAAGAGGACATTCCGTTATTCCCCGCTTCTACAGAATCACCTATAGAAATACAAGAATTTACCGATAGTAATCTTAAACTGCCTTCTATACCGTTGATTGATGATGCAGTCACGAAGAATATTCAGTTACCCTGCACCTCCAAGGAATCTCCTCTGCATGTTGAAGAAGTCATCACTGAGTTACTCTCAACTTCAGCAGAATCGCCATCACAGTTTCCTACGGAGCCTGTAAAGAGCACTATACAAGACATAGTCTGTATTGTTTGCTCAAAAGCAGCATCAAGTGCTCACAAGTGTAAATCGTGTAATATGTTCGTTCACGCAGTTTGTGGTGAAGTAGATCCTAAAGAGGAAGGGTATGGTAAGAATGTATTGTGCATCATCTGTAAAAAGAATATGGATCAGAAAATACAGCGTGATGCAGCCAAGAAATGTTTAGAAAAGCAAGCAAAGAAAATGTTAGCAGTTTCTAATGCAAAGCACCCAAACGTCGATGAAGGTTTCGCTGTGAGAATTAAAGTATCCGAAGAAGACAGAGCAAAAACTGATGCACGTTCAATTTTAGCTGTGGTTCTTAGTAAAACAGAGGATGGCTTTTATAAACTTGATACTAAAACAGGTATTTTAAAACAATTGTATGCAAAATCTGAATTCAGTGTTTGCAAAGAGAGATTTTTAACGAAAGAAGATGGATGTCCCTGCTGTAGAAATACCTTTACGTCAAACAGCAATAAAACAATCCCTTGGTACTGGGCAGGGTTTCAGAAAATGTGACTGCAAATCTAAATGTACCACAAATAGGCGTGCTTGTCGCAAAAACCAATTGCTACGTAATTCAAAGTGTCACCAATCTTTAGATTGCACTAATAAGTAAGTACAATTTTATCATATGTTTTGCAAATTCATTTCCCTAATTGTAGTAATATTTTAAACCGTTTGATTTTTGTATTAAAGTTTTTTTAATTGATTGATGATTGATTCAATCAACTAATTTGTTAATTGTATTAACTTGATTCTTTAGATATTGAAAATCAAATAAATAACATTATGTTAATTTAAGCGTACAGAAACATTGCTGTTGTTCCAGCAAAAATCTTATTTTCACTTTACCGAGTGCCTAGTAGGTAATGTGCAGATTACCTAGATACTCTGCACATTATCTAGGTAATTTGGGAAATGGAATAATTTTCGCAGCTTTAACGGATCACACTAGTTAATCTGCAGATTAGCTAGGTAATGCGCACATTAACGGATTTCGAGCTTTAGCGGTAACATATATACCAATTGAAGAAGGAGTATTTCGATCGTCCGAAATGCATTTTGGTTATTTCGTCTTAATTACTCGTGTAATCGATTGTAATGTACACCCCTTTTCGTTTTTATTAAATGTACACCATTGATACCTGGGTGTTTTTGCTTATTATCACTGGTGTGATAAGTCCTTATTATCTACCTCACATTAGTAGAATTTTTATTAATTTAATTATACCAAGAGCTAAAAGCAATTTTTAAATTATTTTTATGTTTAAAATAACGTAAAAGTGGCACTATCACATTAAGTGTCACAATTGATATTAAAACACTAACAGAAACTTAGAAGTTGGCGTCACAATTGAACAAAACTTTTATGACGCAAACTCGACGACAATGATAAAAATAAATTATAAGATCATAAAGAAAGACATAATTTCCCGCGAGACTACAATGCAATTTAAAAAAAAAAAAAAAAAAAAAAAAAAAAACCTCCTCTGGCTCGTAAGACCACCTCTTGCCTAGACAGAAGCACAGTTTGTTTGTGTATTCGTATTCGGTAAGAAGACACGTGAGCAATCTGCCGAGTGGGGATGCCTCACGGCGGAACTTTGTTTTGGAATCTGGCCCCTATTTTGGTGTCATTAACGTGAAAACACCCGAAAAATGCTGGCTGGCCAGCAGTGGTAAGTTACATCCACTCGGTCACCGCAGGGCTTTAGAGAAACCTCTCGATATCTCTAAGCAGGAACAAGCACAATGTCCCGGGCACGAGCTTCCCCAGACTGATAAACAGCGTCTTATCTGGTCCATGGAATGACCGATCCACGCGCTGTGCATGTCAAGAAAGTGGAATAATTCGACGGAAACATTTTCAAGCCACTCTAGTTGTATGCAACCGAGCATTATATAAAAGAATCTCGTTTCAAAAGATTGCTCGGAAGCCGAAAATCACCCGTTGTTACGAAAATCGTTATTTCGCGAACAACGGATTTCCCGCATATTCGAAAAAAATTTCCGTTTATTAACCCCTACGCATAAGAAGTGCAAGTAATTGAAATAATTCGTTCTGTTGAGATTTCAGTCCTTTATTCTGTAGAAACAAGTATGTTTGTAACGCACGAGTACGTTTTGCCTTATATGATTGTATATTATACCGTACATATGTACGACAAAGCTGACGAAAGCTGTACATATTGTAACCACATAAAAGTCAAATTATGTATGCTCGTCAGCAGTTTCTCTTCACGATTTGTTAAAAAAGACAGAGTTCATCTTGTTTTCTTTCGAGGCTGCTTTTTTGTGTATTGAATACAACGACCGATTAATAATATCATGTACAGCCTGTTCGTTTATGCTAAAAGCATCAGATGTTTACGACTTGGAAATACTCCATGACCTCACTAAATTTCGTCACAACACTTCGACCAACGACAGTGTTTACTAAGTGACTCCTGAATTGTAATAGCCGGCTGACATTCTTCCTACAATTTTTCAATTGTACAAGGTATATATTTCAAACGTGACAAGTGCATCGTCGACGTCTATAAATTTGTAGAAACAGCAAAATATTACCTAAACGTTGAAAAAACGCGAAGTTTACAATATATTTGGGAAAGGAAAACTTTGTTATTCGGAGTGACGGATCCAGTATAAGGAAATAAAATTACATTGATTTGGCGTGACTATAAAAAGGGTCCGTTATTTCAAAAAAATCCACTGAGCTGTAATCCGTTAAAGAGAGATTCTACTGTACATACTTTCTTGCCATTAAAGAGGAGACAATTATCTAATCTTTAAATAAATATGGCTACAAATATTTATTTTTCACTGGCGCGCGTTTTACTCCGCATTTACTGTCGAGCTTCCAACTGCTCTCGCTACTGGCACGCTGATTTCCGATGTTTTTCGTGCCACTACTAATGATGATCCACGTCATACAAGATGGCATCTAAAATCGGTGTATTTGCAGCGAAAAGGCAGCAAGACCGTAAATAAATATTTTGTGTAATAATTGACAAACGTAGAGAACACTTCATATAGTCTTACCTGGCATTCAATGTTCTGTAGATCAATGACGTTAATTCCTCGTCATTTCCGAAATATAGTTCTTGGCATGATAAGTTGAAATGAAAAGTTGCCTGAAATTAAAAGTAATAATTTTTTAATTAAAATGCCTCAATGTCCTTTTCTTATTAAATTATAAATTTTTGTTTATAAACATGCATTCACTATTATCAGGACTTATTATAATGGCTTAACAGACAATACAGAGTTTCACAGAAAACAATTTTTATTTAATACTAGCTGCAAGGACCCGCTTCGCTGGGTTTTTATTTATGGGCAAAAAGTAACGATAGTGAAGATTAAGATAATTACATTATAGCCAATCTTACCCGTTTACAGAATGCAAGAATTAGGTCCCCCGTTTCCAGACTAATTAGAGAATTTTTACGTTTAGTCAAACGAACTATTTTCAATTTGATCAGTTTTCTGGAACGTTTACAATAGTTCTATAATCGAACCAATTCGAATTCGAATACAAATTCGAATTTAAAACGGTTCGAACATTTTTAAAATCGATAATAAAAAATCATATATATATATATAAACTAGCTGTTACCCGCGACTTCGTCAGCGGAGGTTTTGCAAGCAAACCCCATTTACATCCAATATTTCAATAACCATAGTAATTGTTATATAACACCTACCGCTGAAGAGAATTGCCGAAAATCAAACGAACTATTTTCAATTTGATCAATTTTCTGAAACGTTTACAATCGTTCTATAATCGAACCAATACGCAATAACAAATTCGAATTTAAAAC